CAGATAGAGGACAAGGACATCGAGAGTTGCTTAATCTTTGTGCTTCCTTATCTCTTCTGTATAGGATGTCTCTTTCAGGGGCAGAGTTCATTTCTTGCTACAGTGGGAAGCTGATTTAATCTTAACCTGCTCCAACACTATCCACAGACCCATGCAAGGCAGAGCCAGATTCTTGGTGAACTGGAACAGGTCACTGAAAAGTGAATAGAAGAGGTAGATGTCTGCACTGAATTAAAAAAAATAATAATAAAAAAAAAAAACCAACAGAATAAAAGACTTTGTATCAGTCTAAAATAACTATATATTATCCATGCAAGTGTATGAATCAAAGCGTTGCCCAGCCCTTGTTCAAATTCAGTAGGCTGGAAAGTTAAATTGCTTTTCAAAGGCATGTCACACTGTTAAAGGACAAAGGTTCCCGTGCTCTTGAGGTACAGTGATCCATGGCTCTTTGTAGGAACGGTGGCCACAGCACAAACTGCTTCAAGTTAGCAAACACAGCTAAATATTAATGACAGCAGCATTGGGTGTTGCTGTTCAAGAGAAAATACAGAACATGGGAAGTGGTAAAACCGGACAGCTGCTTAAAGCAAAGCACATTCCATAATCCACATATGAAAAAACATGCTGAGGTGAAAATCTGCTATGAATGAGCTTGAAAATCAATCTGATTCATTTGGAAGAGACAATACAGAGATTTGTGTCAGTGTGGACCGTACCAAGTGTTCAGACATCAGGATCCCATTTCCCAAAATCATAAAACTGTGTTTTTTTAAAAAGCCCTAAACTAAATAAATGCTTGTGTTTGTTATATTTTACTTCTAATGCTGCCCTTAGCTTCTGTCTCCTCACATCCTTCACAACATTCCTTCAGACTGAGACTCCTACATAACCCCCTGAATCCAGAAGCTGGAACATAAAGTAAGAGCAAACAGACAGCTATTATGAACTGCCACAGACAGCAGTATGATTAGAGATAAATATCAGGTACATCTTTGTTAGCATGTGACACAGAATAGTAAGGTGGAACGAGCTAAATCAGATGTCTTCCAAAGCCCAGAATAACAGGGAAATAATAGCTGTTCCAAGATGAACCAGGAATTTTATCCACATGTTCAAGCAGGAAAAATTACCATTTTTCAGTGCCATAAGAAAGCAAGCAGAAAGTGAACTGATAATATTCACAGATGGAAGTTACTTAAAACTCCCAACTGATCTGTAGGCTGGGTTATTTAGTACTTGAAAAGCCAGCTACCCAGTGAGGCATGAGATTTAAAGGAAGCAATAAAACATGAACATTAGCACCAGGAAGCTTTCAAAGACATCTTAAATCTCAGAAAGAAAGGCATTCTCAATCTGAAATGCAGCACCTGTGGCTTTTGCTGTCTGAACTCAGATTATTCAGGCTCTAAGATAGTGATTTATTTGGATGTTATATATTTAAATGAAGACCACTTGGCATTCATTCTGTCCCCAAAGTGCTTCAAAGAGCTAACTGAACTGATCTTTGAGGGATTGCAAAGCAGTGAAATTTTAATTTTATTCATCTTGGATGAAATTTTAATTTGGACAGAGGCCTTAAAATAGTATAATGAAATACTGATTTTTTTTTTTTTTTTTTTTTTTTTTTTTTTTTGTACTGACACAGACAAAATCTTATAACATTAAGTTTTTAATGGTACATACTAGTCTGGAAAAAGCTATTTGTAGGGCCTACTCAGTTGCTTTCAGCAGTGACTGAGTAAAAGAAAGGCATAGTTAAATGTATATATCATGATGACACAAGGAGTATATCACCACTGAGAGACTGATAAAGCTATGGAAGCTCCTGCAAAGAGAAATACAGCATTTCATATGCTGTGCTCAGCACAAAGCAGATTGATCAGAAACAGACAGTTGACTTAATCTGAGGTCAGCAGAGGATATTTTGCAGTTTGCAACATGGAGAAGACATGATGTGATCCAAATGCCTACATTCTACAGCTATAGTAGAAGTAACATATACTACACAGGCAAAGCCCAGCTCATATTAAGAGATGATTTTACATTCCTAATATAAGCCAACAAATTTATCTTGTTTTGCAGTGCAGGGAGCAGATATGAGCATACTTCTCTATTAAGGTCAAAGAGCAAAGGAAGGCTCTGCACCTCTGTCTGCATGAGTGTGGCAGGTGTTGGTTGTACCAGAGCCACCCAGCAGGAACAGGACAGATGCTGAAATCACCACGTCTGGTAAGACCAAGCACAGCTGCTGCCAGAACACAGTCAGGAGGAACAGCAACAATCATGCCCTAAGAAAAGCTGTCAGATCCTGTTAAAAGGAGATGAAGAAACGTAATGTATTAATAATAGGTACGTGATTTCACCAAGTGTTAAAAGCCCCACAGCCTATGTTAGACCATGATCTTTGGCAACAGATCCAAGCCTGGGGAATATGTCAAACCACAAAGTGTGTGTCCATTTAACCTCTTGTTGAACTAACCAGTTTCAAGAGCCTGACCAGACTCTGACTGTGGATGCAGTTAAAGAAAGTGCCTTGCCTTCCCTCTTCAGCAAAGTGACCCCTGTGTGCTCATTAAATTTTATTCTGCAGGTAATTGCTGACTAAAATCACAGCAAGTCTGCGCCCAGCCTTGCTGGTCAAAGGAGGAGTTGTCTGCATTATGGGTCCTTGCTACTGAAGGTATTTAATAAAAAGGGACTCAGACTTTCTGAGACACCTACATAACTGAGAGTGTTATTAATTGGCACAACAGAAATGGAAATTAGATGGTAATGGTTTACTTTTGAGGTAGAAAAGGGGATATGTGTTCCATGAACAGGGTAACACATCGATGCAGCTTCTATCACACTAATTTGCTAAACATGTTTTGCAGTGTTGGCAAAAAAAATGTTTTTCCATCAGATGCCTGCATAAGGCATTTGTGAGGTTGCACCATTCTGACACAAAGCCCGTGTAACAATGTATTAGGTGTTCCTAATAAATTATACAAACACGGTGTTTAATCAGTAGAATAAGCTGTCTTGAATATACTGTGTGATATGAAACCATGAACAGCTTTCACAGAACCTGTAAATTGTACTTTAGGGGCTAAAAGAGAGTGTGTGACTGATGAAGTATTTTGAAAATACCTTCCCCATGGCGTTGGCAGCTATCATTTATCTCACTCTGACCAAGATGAAGATAATGTGCATATACAAGCAGAAACAACTTTTCTGCTGACTATAATATTCTTTATTGCTTTCTTCAATTTCAGCAATAGGCAGTTAACTCATGGCTTGTTCAGCTTCTTCACAAAGCTACAATAACCTCTTTGTAACTTTGTGAACTTTCACACAACTGGAAGGACAAATCTGGCAGGGAATAAGAGCTGAACCGGTTCAATTTTCCACCAGCTACTAACAGAAGACAAGAAAATGGAGAAGTGTTCTGCATTACATATCCAGTGACCGTCCCTCCAAATCAATTTTAAAAATATATAGGTCATTAAAGGGAAAACTAGGAGTGAGAAGTGACATGCTGAACAAGCAATAAACAGTTCCCGAGCTCTGGAGCCAGGAATAGGCACTATGTCCGTCCTGTCCAGAAAAATGAATTAGCAGCTCTAGCAGAAACTGACACAGGATGCTGACACCCATCCAGGCAGGGATTCAGAAGGAACAATAAAAGACAGGCATTGAGGCGACATCTGCAGGGGCTGGAGAACAATTTCCAGAGAATGACTGTCTTTTAATACACAGAGGTTTAACTGTCATTGGTCCCTGTTACAGACCATGACTATGAGAAACAATGAGAGCCATTTGTATCCCCTTCTCCCTGCAGGACACGTTTGAGGGAGAATAAACCGCTTTCCTCCTCCAGTGTCAGCCCATTACTGGCAGCACTGGCTGTAATTGAATAAGCTTTATTCAAATGATAGCTAAATTTAGTAGATATTAGCATGAAGTCTCTAGAGGGGTGAAAACTGGAGAAGAGAGCTTTAAAAAAATAGACTAAAGTAATCCTGAATAATATATGCAATTTATGGCAGAGTCAACCTCTCGCCCTGATGAGTCTAGCACAGTTAAATCTGGATTTTGGGGCCTTGCTGAGACAAAACATGACACCATCCCCTTTCATCCTGGCCTGTGATGACTCCTGACATGGCAGGACTCCTTGTGTTGTCCACAAAATCAGATTCATTCCCTGGTGTGCAACAAGCCAATAATTACACGCTTAGGAGAGACTTGATTATTTATTTCAGAGTTGTGTGAACCCAGGTGCTCGGTGACATTCCCCAAACCAAGCACACCCACCAGACTTTCCACACCATCATTTATACACAGAACTTCAGGGTTTGTAACTTTCCAGTTACAGCCCCTGTGTTGTGATGAGTTGGTAGGAGTAACTACATAACCCCAGTTAATCTCTGTGCAGGCTCAGGGGAAGGGCCTTCACCTGAGCAGGGTCTTTTTGACCTTTCAGCATGACTTTTACTATTATAGAGAACATAAACTGACCTTGAGTATTTTGCCAAGTTAGCAATATATACATAGACATACATCAACATCTTGATTTACTACATCCTAAAAGGTTGTTAGTTCCAGGATATCCTTGAGTAAGGGATCCTAACTGCTATCAGTTCTACTGATACAGAACATCCTGACTTACTACATCCTTCAAGTCTCTTAGTTCCTGGATGTCCTTCACTAAGGGATGCTGGCCGCTGCCTGTTACACCGATTAAGTCTTTTTTCTTGCTGATTAGCATTGAAAGCATTCAAAGATCTTGCATCAAAGAACATCCTGGCTTAAGATAGTCACATAATCTAGCCCCAGTTCCTGCCAACTCAGGGTCACCTAGAGCAGATGACACAGGAACATATCCACATGATTTTGAATGGCTCCAGAGACTCCACGACCTCCCCCGTGCAGCCTGTCCCGGCGCTCTGCCGCCCTAACCGCGGAGAAATTCCGTCTCGTTTTGCGGTGAAAACGCCTGTTTCAGCAGCCGGCCCCGGCCGCGTGTGCTGCGTCACGGACAGAGCCCGTCCCCTCGCAGCCGGCCCTCAGGGCGGGCCGCGCTCCCGCCGGCCGCGCGGGGCGGGGCGGGGCGGCGCGGCCATGTCGGCATCGCTGCTGCGCCGCGGCCTGGAGCTGCTGGAGCCGCCGGGTGAGCCCGCGGGGCCGGGGCTGGGCGGGCACGGGGGGCTCCCCGGTACGGCCGCAGTGACTCCGTGCCTCTTCCCGTTGCAGGCCGGGCGAAGGCGCCGCCGGGACTCCAGCGAGGCCGGGCCGGCCCCAGGGCGGCGGGCGCGGCGAGGCGGAGGAAGAGGGCCCCGGAGCCCGGCAGGAGCAAGACCACGGTGAAGGGCAGGGTGGTGAAGTCGGCGATAGGTGAGTCCCGACCCCTCCACAGCCCTCGCACCGGGGGCCTTTGTGGTGTCCCGTGGCCACGCTGCCGGTGGCCGTGTCCATCCCATCCCGTCCCATTCTCCTGCACGCCCTCTTGGTGTCGCTCTCTTCAAACACAGCCTCGTTCGGGGGCGCAGCCCTGAGCTGTAGCCGTGTCTTCCTCCTCTTTCTCCCGGGGCTTTGCTGATCCTCCTTTATCTCTTCTCGTGAGCTGCGTGGATGAGCAGCTAATGCGTTTTGTCGCTTTCTGCTTTGCCCCAGAGGAGTACCATAAGAAAAAGCCTGTGAATCACTTGAGAGAAAACCTGCAGTACATGCTAAAGGGACGACGTGTTGCAGACAAAGCCGTCACAGAACAAGTAAGACTGTAGTTTCTTTTGGGGTTGGGGGCGTCTGTTTCCCCCTGAAACACGGGGGAATGGGAATCATCCCTGGATCTTCCAGATTTGTACCTTACACAAGAGAGTCAAGTTAAGTTTCTGTCTACAGATGGCCTTGAGGAATTTCTGTGTGCCCTGGCAAAATAAGCTTTAAACTGTTGTTGATATGTTGCCCCCTGTGATGTTCTCTGATACTAGTCAAAATCATAGAATCATAGAACAGTTTGGGTGGGAAGGGACCTTGAAAGATCATCCAGTTCATCATCCACCCTGCCATTGGCAGGAATGCCACCCACTACATCAGGTTCCTCAAAATATCCTGACAGCTGTTGGCTTTTCTTAATTACCAAAAATATTTCATAGTTTCAGCTGGCAAAGATGCCCTGGTTCAGACCTTCTCATTACTGTCGATCAAAGTGGCCTCTCTGTAGCTAGAGGCTGATTAACGAGGAAGCAGATGTGCTGCTGGCTCATCTAATGGGAATTACTAAGCTTCCTAAATGGTTTTTCTCATAACTTGAGAATTTCTTGAATGGTCTTCCCCAAAAGGTAGTCTCGTGCCAGGATTTGAAGAGAAGAATAGGTGACAGTGCTAGAATCTTGGGATGTTTTTATGAGATACAGACTGTTAACTTACATAAAGAGAGAAAGTGGCTTAGGCCAGTGTTTCTGAGGCTGGAGATTGTGACAGGAGGTGACAGTGTATTAGAAAATGCTGAGGAAATTCCACCAACTTGTTGGGGTTTGGGTTTGTGTCATGGAGAGAGGGGATGAAAAGGAAGGTAATAGTTTCAGAAAGTTCTGAATTGAAATCCATATTCTTATCTCTGTGACTCTGTGAATTACTAGAAAATAGTTTTCATATTTGACTCAGAATAACAAGTTGGTATCTGCTGTTGTCCCAGTGTCCTGCTTTGGTTAATGTCCGTGGTTTGCCTCTCACTTTTCTTTGAGGGCACTCTGGAAAATAGCAGGGCTCTTGTAGAACAGCAGGGATGCTGCAGGTGAGCTTGAAAATCACTGTTTTGTGATTTGGTCTGGATAACAATGACGGTTGTTTTTTCCATTTCTGTATTGTCTGAAGGTTCTTGCTCAGAACAGAGGCAGGAAGTCCAAAGATCAGCCTCCAGAGAAGAGAGAAAAGAAGAAGCCAGAAGGCACTGTGTTTACTGAGGAAGATTTCCGTAAATTTGAGAGGGAATACTTTGGGATCCCATAAACATCGTGACAGGGATTCTTGCAGCTCCAGTCTTTCTGCAGCTTCTCCAGTCTGGCTCTCAGGCCTGGGCATTTCCATGGCACATGGGGGATGTGCCTCTGTGTTGGACTTGCAGAGCAGCTCTGCATGTGGGCAGAGCTTGTCACTGGCCAGCTAAAGCCACAGAGGTGCTCTTGACTCTGAGGTGTGTTATCCTTATAATTATCTTCCTGCAGCCAGCATGTCGTGCATTCTTGATGTAGAAGGGTGGACCAAGCCAAATAAAAACCTTTTTCCCCCTTCCACAGGATATAAGGCTCCTGCTACCTGTGTTACTTGGCCAGGAGTATTGAAAGTACTGTATCTGAATGGAGAAATGTTTTGAACCAGCATTAAGAAGGGAAGGATGCTTTGAAAGACTGTTAAACTTGAGTAACCCTGCAGTTTGGGTTCTGATTACAGCCCCTGTCAGGTCTGTCAGTCATTGCAAAAACTTTTTATAAGTCATTTGATTAAATACTTGTTGCAGACACTGTCTCTCTTTGCCTTTGTAGTAGTGATTATTGTGACAGGTGATGAAGATGAGCCGTGTCATTGCTGTGATCCAAGCATTCCTCTCTTTAGGATGACTCAGTTGTGTGAATGGCCTCTCCATTTCATGTTAACACATACATTAAATCATCTCTCTGACATGCTTAGGCCTTCAAAGAGTGCAGGCTGGAATGGAGATGACTCCTCCATTTTGGCTACTCACAATCTTCCCTTTCTCCAAGGAGTAGTTCTCACACGGAGAAAGTTATCCTTTGAATGTTTATAGCTCAGTGACCCCCTGAGATTTACCCATGCCATCGGGGCACCGCTGCTGAGTCCTGTAGTCCAGGTCCTGTAGCCAGGAGGGCTTGTGTCCCAGATGTTAGTCTTGGCATCAAATTAAAATCTGAGCATGGGCTTGTGGTGCTGGGTTGAAGGGAAGTTGTTTTCTCTGCGACTGCCACGAAGTTCCCAGCTGTAACAAACAGGAGGCCCTGCAGGTGGGAGTGTTGTTTCAGAAACTTCCTGACTAAACCACTCTAAATGTGCTTCTTGGGTGGCTCTCCCATTGCCTTATCCTGCCCCTTACCTAAAAAGATGGAAAATGTGTTCCCTTTTTTTCCCTTGGAGGAAAAAAAAAAAAAAAAAAAGGTAAGGAGAAGGACTAATGCCAAGCTTTGGTTAAGCTCAGGAGTTGATTACAAGGGGCCTGTCTGACCCAAGCAGCAGCTGCTTGATGCCAGCACAGGCAGGAGTTCACTTCTCCTTTCCCTGCCCTCTGATTATAGCTCCTGGTGCTGTTCTTTTAACTCTGTGCTTCCTCTGTTGAGTTCTTTTCCTGTTGTCTGCATAGGAGGAAAGGTCACTTGGATGGATATATGAGATCCAGACAGGGGAAATAAATAGTGAACGTACTGAAGTGTGTGTACTGGAAATTGGGTAATAGCACGTGGGAGGGGATTTCTGGTAACAGGATCAGGTTCAACTGTCTGCAGCCAAAAATGGTAAGTATAGAACAGTTCAAAGAACAATTCCCTTTTTTTTTTAGTTTGTTCTTACTTCCAAAATTTAAAAAATTAAAAAAAAAAAAGAAAAAAAGCTTCTTAAAAGAATAGAAACACTACTGTTTAAAAAAATAGTTGAGCAAAATGTGTATTCAGCACATATCTCCCTAAAACTTCTTCTGCACTGTGTGCCTGCTGCAGTGCATGTGAGCTGGCCTAACACAAGCAGCTCTGTGTGAAGCTGTCATGCTGTCATGAGGATAATTAGCTGGGAAAAAGCTGGCTGTGCCACAGCTTGGCTGAAGGAGGTAGATTTCTGGAGTGTTATTTTGTTTTAATCTTCATCTTCAGTATTTGGCATTTCCTATGACCCTACACAAGTCCTTCATGTCCTGTCCTGCTCCTGCTCTACCCATTCCTCCTACGCACCCTTGTTTCTGCGGTTGTTCAGCTCCTGGGCCTTTTTCCCACAGGCTGAGGGAAGCAAAACCATCCTTCCTTGCTCCAGAAAAGGGCAGGAGGGTAATGCGGTTCACTCTCTTTGTGCAAAAGCCAGCCTGTTTGTTTGCAAATGTAAGCAACAGGAAAGCTCTTCTTTCAAAGCTAATGGGGAACTTTAAAGTGAGGCCCAGAGCAGTTCTCCCTGGGGATAATAACACCCAGATCAGTGGAGTTTCAAAATTGAGTGGCAGCTCTCATCACTGGCTGGAAAGACTATTAAGGCCAGCACAAGTAATCAACACACTTCTTGAGGCATTATGTTGCCAAGGAGAGTAAAGCTACCTGACAGACTGAATTTTGCCATTTGAAACTAAACCTGATTGTAGAGTCAACAGTATCCGTAAAGAAATTAAACTTTAATTTGTGAGAAGAAGAAAAAGAAGCAGAAGTGAATGGTGGCTGGTAGAGATGCCATCTCCAAAGGGCAAAGCTCTAACGTTGCAGCCTTGACTTTCCCCCTCTCTGGCAGGGCATGAGCTCCTTGGAAAGAAGAGCAGTGCCACCTGAATACTGGGCAGGTAAGGTCAGGTAGTGCCCTGTGAGGAGAATGTCTTAAAGGAGAGGGAAGAGCAGGTACCAGCCTGTTGCACGTGCCTGGTGTAAGCTGAATCCAGGCACCTTCTCGTAGTCCCAGCTGTCTGTCTAGCCATGCCCAGAGGATGCCAGCTGTGCTGGGACCCCAGGAGGTGGCTACCTTGGAGCAACCGCCCTATCCCTATAAGTGTTTGAGGCCAGGCAGGATGGGGCTTTGAGCAGCCTGCTCTAGAGGAGGGTGTCCCAGGCAGGGGGGTCGGAATGGGATGATCTCTAAGGTCCCTTCCAACCCAAACCGTTCTACGATTCCGTAATCTTTGCTCTTTGCAGCCAGACTTCTCTGCCCGATGGAAGAGACAAGAAGGGGTTAGGGAAACGGCAGCTGCCGTAGCTGCTTTTCCTAGCTGGCCTCCAACCTGTTTCCCACGCTGGAAGCTGACGGGCTGCCGGCCACAGCAACCTTTGGACCTGCTGGACAGCATTTCTTTCCCGAGCATCTGCGAGCGGCGGCGCAGGGACGTGTCCCACTGCTGCCGGGCCAACGCCGCGTGCTCGCTGAGCTCATCAGGCTGCTGGCTCCCTTCCCAGCTCTGCGACACCAGCTGAGCATCCTGCAGCAGAAAATAGAGGTAGCTGAGCTAGGGAATGGGGAGGGTGCCATCTTACAGGGCATCTCCACCCACACGCAGCAGGGAGTCAGAATGGGCAGCAGTAGCAGCAGCTTTAATATGAATGCAAATAAAAGCTCTGAAGTGTTATTAGTGTGGTAGAACCTTTCCAGGGAAACTGTTTAGAACAGTTCCCAGATGCTCAGCCTTGAGCTAGCTTAGTGTGAATAAGATTCATCAAGCCTCTTAATGGCCTATTGCTCCCTTGTTATGTGAATGGAAAGCAAAAAAAAGGAAATTTGTTCCAGTGGGTACAAACTAATGTAAGCCCATACAGCCTCTGCTGTATCAACAAGTCTCCACTTCCTTGCCACAGAAAGCAACAACAGCTACTACCAGCACTATGTGAGTGTCAGAGAGGGGAGGACAGCAAATGTAAACCAAGAAAACACATTTGTTCAGGACACCAACTTCTTGCCTCTGACATGACATAGCAGTAACAAACCTGGCTGCCAAAGAACTTGCTCAGGCTAATGAGATTGAAAACACTGAAAAAACAGTAGGGGAAAATCAAGGGGTAGGGGGAGAGTCCTAAAAGCCTTAGCCAATCTTACCCTCTGGTGTTTTTTTCCATGACTGCCTTACAATTCAGTTTTGTTTTATGATCAGCACCTACAGCACTTACAGGCTCCTGAATGCTTCAGGAAGGGGACTGGTTAATGTAAAAAAGGGTACACAGCAGCAGAGCCCTGAATAACTCACGAAAGGAAGTTCCTTATTTTGAGACAAAGACCCATCAATTCAATTCGAAATGAGGAGTGTGAAAGAAGGCAGACTGCCTACTGTCTGCTTACGGCTCAAAATGTGGAACTCCAGGCAAGGCCGGCTGAAGGGTGGGTAGGATGGAGAGGGATTAAAGGTTTGCATGTTTATCTGTAGTTATGTTAAATAGGATTAACAGGGCCAACCACTAACTGGTGGGGGTGGGGGACACAAAAAGCTTGAAGGTTGCTCTGCAGCTGTCTAGAGGGTTACTCACACCTTTTTCTGAAGAAATAAGCTGCTGGCAGGGCTAAGCAGTAACATAGCCAAGCTGGTCTGTCCTGAGCTGCAGTGTTTGCATGCCAGCAAGATCATTTATCTCCTTTAATGGGAGGCAAAGACCAGGGCTCTTTCTCCACCTGTCCGCACGCTGCAATGGAGATGCAGAGGAGTTTCAGGACTAGGAGATTCTCTGCCCTATATAAATTAAGCTGACGCATCTGCTGCGCCTGGAACTCGCTCCTGCCGTTCCTTAAAAGGGTGTGTGCATGCAAAAGAGAGGAAGAGAGCAGCTGAAGGAGAAGTGAGAGGTGGCTGGCCATCACTTGGAGAGCATGCACCTCTGTAATAGGGAAACTGGAGCTTGTGGGTGCAGCCAGCTTCCTCCATTCAGTGACTTTATTCACTTCTGACAGTGCATGAGTGCACTGAAAATAATGCAAAGACTACATACCTGAGATACCTGAGCAGCCAAAATAATATTGCCTTGGTCAGGGGACTGAATTCCTGTGTTAATTCACAGGGCCTGAAGCATTTCAATGAGAAAGTCAGCAAAGGTGAGCACTCCTAGCCCAGCAAGGGATGCTCATGTTAAGAACCCGAGTTGGCCTTTGCTCTGGAAATGAAGTGTAACAAGAGTTTATGAGCAGCACTGCATGGCAAGTCTGTGAATACAGCAGGACAGAGGAAGGTAGGATATCCCCAGAAGCTACTTGGACCATACTGAGAAAAAATTAATATGCACAAGATGGAAATTATGCCTATAAGAAGGACAACAGAGATCCTGTTTGGTTTGTTTGTTTATTTGTTTTTCTGAAGGCCTAAGTGTATGGGAAGACAAAGAAAACTGGTATTCTTCTGGCCAAAAATGTATAGATTTCCCACCCCCCAAAAAAGGCCATGAATAGACTACCACTGTGTGAAACTGCATCAGAATAAGCCACATTTTCTTTCTTTAGTCCAGATTGGAAGCACTGGAGGAGCATTAATCTCCCAAAGGACAGCCTGTCCTTGCAGCTATTTCTGGGCTTTCTGCCAGGGCAAAAGCTATTTGAAAGATTTTATCATCATTCTTTCTTCATTCCCCAACACTGCAGCTGTGGATTTATTTTTGTAAGCTTGCTGCAAAGGTGCATCTGATTCTCCACACACGCATGTGAATAAGTTATCTGCAGTGATGGTTTCCCCTTTTCTTTTTGAAAGGGAAGGGCATGCACCTGGGTCTCTCTAAAGGCAGGGTGAAGAGGAAGGTAGTTATAAATATTATGATAACAGCAGAAACAAGCTTGTGAGAAAGGGCTTTGCAAGCAG